GGTGATAAAACGACGGCCTTCATCCTTGTCTGGATGTCTCAGCGTTAAACCCGCGGTTTTAAGTTTGTATTAGTCCATCCTTCTTCTGGGTTTTCATTGGCTTCTGTATACATTGCTTAGTCAGTATTTAGTTTTCTGTTAATAATACTATTTGTTAACCTTGTGTGTATGAGCCTTGTTATTTGTGACTTCAGTTCTTAGCTTTAGTTTCTGATGACTTTAGGTTTATATTTAGTGACATTACCAGTGTTTCCATTCAGTTCCTTCTAACAGTCTCATCTTTGTCTTCATGTGTTTCAAAGTAGCTTTGTGTTTCCTAGTTCTGTGGTTTCTAGTATTTCTTGAAAGTCTCCTGCCTTCAATCTCTTTTTTTGGACTTTTGGATTCAACACCATCAACAGTTCAGCTTATGTTCACTTCTGTCTCCTGCATCCTGCATTTGGGCTCCAAGCAATCCACAATCCTGTTTGTGACAGCAGTCCACGGCACACAGACTTTTATACAACTTAACCTGAGGAGTCGCTCTCTTCAGGCGTGTGGAAAAAATGTTAGTTTAGCTCACATCCACATTGGTTTCACTTATCCATGCTAATGATTTCTTTTTAGAAAAGTAGGGTTCTTGTCTTGAGTGCAATCACAGAAAAGGATCAATTATTTCCTTCAGACTTGGTTGTTTCCAGTTTTCAGTTGCAGTTAGATTTAGGCTTGGTTAGATTTGGGAAACAAAACTTCTTGAACTGGGTTTCCCAACGGGCTTTAGAAAGCTTGTGCACCACAGTGGCTTTCTGATAGAAGGAATTGGAGACAATGAAACCTCTCCTTTGACCATTCCTTCTTCTTGAGTTAAAACAACATGAATGATCAGTTGCAGGGACGACCTTGGAGCACTGACATTTTCATGATGTTGTTGGAACAACACCAACACGGTGATATCATTTCATATTTAATGTGGTGGCTCTGAGAGCCCAGTGACAGGGGAAGAAGAAAAACAACAGTTCTGTGATACAGATTTGTTTTATGACTTTTTCTTCTGTCTGTAATTTATGTGCCTTAAATATTGCATAATGCTTTGTGCCTCAGACAAAGAGAGAATCTTACATATGAAACATCTCACTGGTAAAGCTAATAAATGACCGCGACTATTGTCTGTAAGAAATCAGAAGCCAAATATGTGTGGAAACAGAGTTTTAATCTGAGCAACGAGGTGTAATTTATAAGCTCATCGTGCATTTTTCTTTTTGGAATTAAAAAATAACTTCTGACCAGAGGAGTCTGTGCACTGATTTCCTCTTAAAATGCAGCAATTAGATGGAAAAATAACACAAATATAGTAAAAAATAAAAGCCTTAAAATTGAGTTATGTTCAGCAATCAACACAAAGCTGCCAGGGTTCAAAACAGACTTTGAGATGAGAAACATTTCACTGCTCAAAGTCTGCATCATGGTTTCACTTTGTCAAAGAGCATGCATCCTGTTTCTGTCATGAAAGTGAAGAACGCTCATCTTTGCGACCAAAGACATTATTCACACAGAACAACTTCTCCAACTTTATTTATCTGCCAGATTAAAAACGAGGGAATGGCAACATAATTATGATTTGTATCATATGCAGCTTACTGAGAATTCATTACTGTCTGGTGATATAACTGTACTTAGGTCCATCATAAAGACTCAGTCCTGATTTTAAGATGTGAGTAAGCTGTATGTCATTAGCTGTTGAAATAGTTTTCATACCTTTATGAAACCTTTATTACTTGGTAGTGTTTTGTGAGTGCAGTTGAGAGCCTTGTCTTTGATCAATGCGTTTTTATTTAAATACATCATTTAGAAATTATTTTTAAAAGCAAACAACTAATTGAGCTAACTGAGATTTAACAGGAATATTTTTAGCCTAAAATGAACAGGGCAGGGGTCTCTGTCCTGCAGTTTTGATTTAACTTCCTAGAACCTGTTGTCCACATTTGTGGAGATCACATTTTGGGTTGTCTAGACCAAAATACTAAATTTTGCTCTACAAAGGCCTGATGTCCACTTACAAGGACATTATACAGCCACTGTTCTATTGAATTTTAAAGGAATATCCTTATATGTGCATCTCATTTTTGTCAGAAACAAAAATCAGGGAAAACAAATGTGGCAATTCTTTGTTTTTACATTCATCAGGTCCCAATTTGCCCAAATATCAAAGAGAAATTAAAAATGCATGCCATGGAAGAGTTGGGGTCTTAGGAGATTAAAACTCTACAGGAGCAGAAGTCCTGTAGATTTAATCTTTAACCATGGCCATGAAGATACCCAGCCTTAAGTTCAGCATTGTTTTAATCCTCCAGTGTCAGACAGGACGCAGAAATGGAGAGTGAATGAGCCAGAGTTTATGGATGGAGACGATGCATTTGGACATAGAAGGCAGTGTGGCTGCAGCAGACCAGAGCCAGCAGGTCATCAGCTCCCAGCCAGAAGGCCTGAGAATCGTGCTGAGGAATGAGACACCGATGCCAGGCTGCGACCGTCTGTGTATGCTCAGATATTTGTCTCTGTGTGCGAATATTTACAGTGGACAGACAGGGACCGAAACTCTAAAAGTAGAAACGCCACAATGGAAAAAGTCTCACGCGTTCATATATTTTATCTGCGTCACCTCAAAGCCTGCAGAACAGTTTCACTAAAATGTAAATATTGAACATTACAAAGACATTTAAGCTCTATTTTAGGAGTCATTAGACTGAAGTACATTATCACAATAGTTCAAATATGAATGACCATCGATTATCAAGATGATCCAAATAAGTTAGTGAACAAACTTTATCAGAATGATGGAAAATCTCTGGACTACAGATTGAAAAAATTTGGGGGGAGGACGTGATAGATCATTAGGCGGTGAATGTTGTGTGAAAAACAACAAGCGAGTATGTAAGAAAAATGAAAGATAAGAAATAAGAGGAAATGGAAAGAGTGAGTGATTGCCAAAGATAAAAGAGACAAATTGATAAAAAAAATTTTTAAAAAGAAGAACAGAGAGAACACGAAAGTCTCCAAAGATGGAAATCGTGAAAAATACAAATGTTTCAAAATGACAACTTCCACTTACGTCCCGTACTTCAGGAAATCCATCTATGTGAGGACTTTAGACCTTAAAGAGGAGACATTTTCTCTGTTTTGCCTGAAACCCCGTCCTCCGGGTGCTGTTAGCCACATTTCCTGCATAACTAGCATGTTTTGTCAGTGATTTATGTTTGTCTTACCTACATACTGGGTTTGTAGACCCAGTGTATGTCACAGTACTTCAATAAACACACCAACACACCAAAACAGGACATGGAGTTGTTTAATGGCATCAGGTAAAAACTACAACTGACTGGCTTGTAGACCTGATCAAGACAACCTGCTGAAGTTCAAACCGAGCATGACAATGGAGAAGGAAGGTGAATTAAGTGACTTTGGCTGTAACATGGATGTTGGTGCCAGATGGGCTGGTCGTCTATTTCAGAAGCTGCTGATCTAATGGGATTTTCCCACACAACCATCTCTGTGGACCTTTTTCTCCTAAAGGAGAAAATATCCAGTGAGTGAAAGTTTTTGGGGCAAAGATGATGCGTTCATGTCAGAGGTCGGAGAAGAAAGGCCCGACCTCTTTGTGCTGATCGGACGGCAACAATTACAGTCAAGCTATGCAGAAAAGCATCTCTGAAGACAGATTAATCCAACAGATTGAACCTTGAAGCAGCAGCAGAGGAGCACATCGGGTACCACTCCTCTCAGCTAAGAACGGGAAGCTGAGGTTAGAATTTACACAGGTTCAGAGAAATTGTACAATTGTAAGGCAGTCCAGGCATCTGATTTGGATGTGTCCTGGGTGCCACTTTCAGGAAGAGAGAAAGGAGCTGCTGGATATATAAATATATCTCAGCTGACTTGGGAATGCCTGAGTGAGGGAGTTCTGGGTTTCTCTACTGTCAGTGGTAGAAGATGGATGGATGGATGAATGAATGGATGGATGGAGAAGGGTGTCCACCCTCAGCATTGTGAAGCGATGTTAACCTAAAGAGGTCAGTGAGTATATTTTATATAGGCTAGATGTAGATGTGTAATGTGTATATCTGGTTAATTGCCAGATGGTGTGTCAGAGGTGGAGAATGTTGTTTATACATGATGAGATAGCAACGAACGCCAGGCACTGACAAACCCACACATTGCGAGCAGCATTAATGCTCTGCGGGTGTGTGTTGGCCAGAGTCAGAGGAGAGGTTTGAACTGTTTTGAGAAGGAACAGATCCTCATTCTTATCTGGACCCTCCCCTTATTGTGAAAGAGCATCTCCACTCTGGACAAAGAAGCAGTGGGCAGAATGAGTGCCGTGTTTCATCAGTGTATCATCACCGCTTCGTGGTGTGGGAAAAATTTCCTGGACAGTTATTTCTCACACCACGATTTTCCTCCTCTGTGATCAGACTGTATTTATAAAAGGAAATACCCTTGTGCAAGTTAAGAAATCCTCAGTGGCCGTTTATCCTTTTTCGGTCGAACTATTTTGGGATTTTACAGGGGACTAGAGAGTTCTTCTTTACTTATTCACTATAAAACTCAAAACATCAGAATCACAAGTACAATAAAAGTCAATATCTGTCCCTGCAGTTACAGCCTACATACGTGTACTGGACCTCTATGCGTACCTTTATGTGGACCAAAGGAGTAAAAGGTGCATATTTGTACAACTTCTTCTAAATTTAGAGGTGCCTAGAAAAGAAAGCAATAGATTCATGGCAGAAGAATAGGACACACATGTAGACGCACATTTATTTTAATTAATTTTACTCAGCAGTCATTAAGGCAAAGAATGTCATTAAAATGTATCATCTACATGAACATTTGCTCACAGGATCCACTGTTACACTCAGGATGGGGACCCAGCTGTGCTTCACAATCGATGTGACAGCAGCTCCATTATTTATGATTCGATAAGCAGGAAAATAATAATAATTCTGTTTTGTGTATGTCTGCAGCTGGTCTTCTACAAGGCGGTGCAGATTCTGTCCAATCTGGGCCACAGCCTGTCAATCATCACTCTGCTAACCAGCACCATCATCATCTGTTTGTTCAGGTAAAAACACTCACTGACCACAGCTCACAGAAGCACTGTTTCAGTTTAATTCATGGTGACCAGAATTACAAGTCATCTCAAGGCACTGTATACTATAAAGACAAACAACACTGACAGAACATTAGTGACCACATAGTCAGAGAAAAAAAAATCCCCGTAACAGGGACAAGTCATCCAAAAAGCACATGTTCAGAGACCACAGCGCTGTCACCACTTGTTTGATGAATGGGAAAGTGGAGGAAAGAGAAGCATAAAGGAAGCTGTGGAGTCACAGACAACCAGGAAGTGCAAATATTGAGCTGTGTAGAGTTTCGTCTGATGCAGTAAAAGTAGAAATAAAAACTATGAAAGCACCTCACTACACACAAAACTTTATTATTGTCCAAAATTCAAAAGTAAAATGCTTCTGCTGCAGATGTTTAAGATGAACTCAGTTTAAGTGTTCTCATATAAATATGTAATAATATTAAATATTTAATAAAACAGCTATTAAAAAGCTACTGTTAAAAAACATCTCCTGTAACTACAAAAACTGCAACTCTTTTACTTTACACGTGATTATTCTGATAATTACTTGCTAATATTTGTGCTTTTTCCATCTAAAGTACAGATCTTATCTGATCCTAGAACACTGAAAGCAGAGCCGCAGACGACTTGTCTAGTGTCCTGATCACCCATCAAAGACGAGACATAATCCCCAATATGCATGTTCAAACAACCAGAAAAAGCAGCTGTGCTCTCAGTTTGCCCAGCTGCAGGCGCTGATGACAGGACACAAACACACCCATTAATTTGACTCTCAGTCAAGCAGACTAAAGCAGATCAATCCTACTTTAAGATACTTTAGTCCAATTTGATTTTAATCAATGTCTATTTTTAGATTTCACTGGACAAGCATTGATTGCCTTGCTTGTCCTGATGGTGCCATTAACTCCATCAAGGCATTTACTCAGGGCATAACATGTTCCATCACAGTAACCCTGCACAATAGTATTTTTACCTCTTTGTACAGTCGCCCTGAGAGGTCAAATGGACACCAGCAAATTAAAAAATGCTGCAAAAGCACACAAAACACAACTAAAGCTGAATGAAGCAAAATGGAAGTAGGGAAAAAAAGCTAAAACTAAGAAGCAACTGATAGTATTGGATGCTTCTCTTGGTGGTCAAAGGATACATTAGAGGGGCTTTTATTCTTCACCTCAGGAAGAAAACGTGTGTTAGGCAGACTTGCTGAAACAAGCGAACAGGTTGGAGAGGCACAGAGAGGACAGAGAACACAAACGCAGTGGTGGCATCTAAGGACATGCTGTGGAAGAGTGGAGACAGGAGAAGTTGTCGCTACTTCGTGGAAAGTCCCACAGCTGCCTGAGCCTGTGGCAGCATAACTAAGAGATAATTCATGGTCACCCGACCCAGTTTTAACTATAACTAACTATAACTAGAAGCTAAAACTTCTACAAATTGTTGGCTTTGGATGTCATGATTTATAATGTTGTGTGCACATGGACGGATTCAAATTTTCTTACTTACCTAAAAGACAAAGTAAAAGTAACAAAGATGAGGGCGATGCTTTTGAGCTTAACAAGGACACTGCTGGAAACATCCACAGGGGTGGTGGAACAACCTAAAATAAACATCTCTTATGTGTAAATGAGGCTTCTTATGAAGGACAAACAAAGGTGCCTCACACTTTTTCTATTAATACAATAACCCTGAAAAGTCTGCAGAAACTCTCTTTCTCTTTTTAAACATAAAAATATGGTGACGAATGTAAAAAAAAAAACATGAAACTTCCCTTATGTAATTTTGAAATAGGTTTGTAAAGTTAATGATAATGACTAATCTAACATCTCAATTTAAATTCCCTGAAACAGTGAAAGTTGGTATGTGCAGAAATCAGAAACAGATGATTTTGTCTTCAGTTTTACATCATAGCTCCAGATTTCTATTCTTAGACGCTGCCAGAGTGACTTTGCACGATTCGTAGTCTCATGCTGGGCCCTCGTGCAGCCCCTCAGGTCATCTTTTTAAAGAAAACAAATACAGGGTTTGGAGAGCACGTTTCTTTAGAAAACTCCCATTTACTACACCAGCAGACTGCAATCAGAGTTTGGGGTCATGGCTCTGACCTCTTCAGTCTTCTCACATATGTTGAATGAATCATTTTTGTTCTTCTAAAGTGCGGAAATCCTGAAAAAAACGTGAGGTTTAAAGTCAGGCAGGGTCCAGCGCTGAAGGCAAAGTTATCAGTCTTGTTGTGCAAATATCCTGAAAAGTCAAGATAATTTGAACAAATGATGTATTCAGAATCGGGTTATATAACACATTTTTATTTATATACTCTTAACACTTCCGAACATACGGAGCATGATAACAGTTTGTAGAGATGTGCGAAGCTCAGTCTGGATGGACTCCAGCTGCTCACTCGGCCGCTATCAACATGTTTAGATACCGCATCCTTCAGTCAATTCACACCCAGACACTCTGTAAACACACTTCTCTATGTTTGCGTGTGTGTGCGTGTTTACAGGAGACTCCACTGCATGAGGAACTACATCCATCTGAACTTGTTCGTGTCGTTCATCCTGCGCGCCGTCGCAGTGCTCGTCAAAGACACCCTGCTCTTCTCGTATGGTGAAACCACAGACTGCAGCCAACAGCCCTCGCTGGTAGCCTTTCACGCATGAAAACACACACACACATTTTTTACTTCACCGTTAAACACATTTACTATATGTACAAAAACCTTTAGATGAACCTTAATTAAAGTAGAAACAGGAGGAGTCTGTATTGGTGATACCAATGTTCACCTTTAAAAAACTTTCTGGGCTCTTCCAAGCATCTTGGAGATGAGCACTTTATGAGGCCATCTGTTGCAGGACTCTTGTAGCTGAACTGAATGTTTGGTTTTTTATGACTCTGGCTAAATGTTTGGACTCTTTGTCATGCAGAAGCATGAATTTGGAACCAGTTAGACGCCTTCCTGATGTTGTTTTTGTGTGTGTGTGATGGATAAGAATCTAACGTATCTAAATGTTTTGCACGGCACTGAGGGTCCTTAGGCAGATGGCTATAAATGACCTCAGAGTGAAGCATTGGAAACCATTCACATAAAGAAGCAGCTTTAGTTTAGAAAACTGTGGGTGGCTTGCAAAGTTTACCTCTATATCTGCGTTTTTTCCAACATGTCCACACATGCTGAAGAGAGTTTTCAAATTTGCATTTCTAGCACCGTTAATCCAGGAGTCATGGGTTGGATATACAGTCCTGTGCAAAAGACATCACTCGTTTCTTCTTCCAAAAAGCCAGACTTGTAATTTATAAAGTGGTCTTGAGCAATAGTTCTCCAGCTTTGAATGTTCTACCATGTGGATCACCGTTCATGGAGCGGTTAAAAACAAATGTCTTTCAGTTCTGAGAAAAGTAAATTAGTAAATTCATTGGAAACAAGCGCAGATTTTTTTAATACACTGGCTCAACTGCACATTTACACAAAACATTTGAGAAATCTTTTCACAGTGTAAAAACAGTCATCCTAATGCCAGTCATCAAGGTTCACAATGAAGTTGGTGATTCTTCTAATTCTTTGTGAAAATGTATTTCTTTGTGGTCAAATTATAATATTACATACAGAACGTTACTATGCAAACTATAGAATGGATGTAACAAAGCATGTTGCTGTGTGTGTGTGTGTGTGTGTGTGTGTGTGTGTGTGTGTGTGTGTGTGTGTGT